AAGCACAAGCCAGGCCTCTGTCTGCGTCCTTTGTCATTCAGATGAGATTTGCAGGAGTGGTCTTTGATAAAGCTCTTCTAATGAGTCTTTTTCTATCACATCATGTTTTTGAAGCATTGTCATTGTTTTCCTTCATAAGTTATCTCATTTGTTTTTCTTGTTAGGGTAATGGTTAACAGGGTTTGGCGGGATTGGTTTTTTTTTAGCTAAAATAAGAAAGCTAGATTTAGTTTTAATTGCTGGCATTTTAAGTATAACAACGTTATCAGTCTTACCCCATTAGTGATTATGAGTTTTAATAATTTCATCGCTCCTTCATTAACCTGGCTTTCCTAAGAGCAGCCTAATAGTTTCCACATAAGATGAATATGCTGAAAAATGGAGTCCAAAAAGCTATAGATAGCTGTCTCTTCTGGCTGGTATGTCAGTGGTCCATTTTAACAAGGCCTTGTGAAAATCACTGCAAATGAGAGCTGCTTAAGCATGTCACACATGGCATACTGTACCACTGGAGTCCTCCAGGGAATTATTCATTTGGCTTTCTTAAAATGTCAGTCCTTTTGCTATAAGCATTTCATAATTATGTAATTAAAAACAGAACAAAAATAAACATGCTTAAACATAGATGCAATAATAAATCAGAGGAGTTGATCTAGATTTTTTTCTTTGTAGTAAAAAATGACTTTCAAGAAAATAATTAAGAATTACATAAACCAAAGAGACAAGCTCTTGCCCCATGTCTCATCACAGTAGTTCTGTCTTCTATACCTCACTTATACTCTGGAGAGTATGAGACGGTACAAATGTAAGAGAGTACAAACATACCTATATTTAAACATATAGGTAAGTTTATTTAAACAATATATATATATTAAACAATCTATATTTAAACATATAGATGCAACAAATAACAGGCAACTCTCAGTGGAGAGCCGTCTACCTTGGGTCTTGTTGTCCTGCCTGGTCTGACAGAAATAATCAAATCTGATATGGGGTTTATCTTTCAGGGAAGGTTATGGAAATGGCTTTAGGCTGGATTGGAAATGGAAATGAATTTAGGCTGCTTTTGAGGCAGATCTTGCCAGAATTATTTTTTTTCTATCAAATTATATAAATCTACATGGGATTTAATAAATTAAGACATCAAAATAAATTAATGCATTTTTCCCCTCTTCCAACACTTTCCTGAAAGACAGTTGTTGGATGAGCTCTTGAAGAGAAAACAACCAAAATAAGATTTCTGGAGGTGGGAAATATAAAGTCACAATTGGCAACTATGCTTTCTCACATCTTATAATGCAGTAAAATCTGCTTTTGGCTGAAGCTTTTTTTAATAAGCAGAAAAAGCCTGCAATTTAAGTCAGGATCTTTGAAATTCTGCAGTTTTCAGATATTTTTCTGGAAAACAGTTTTTGAAATGAGGACTTGAAATATTAAACAGAAACAGTATCTCTTTATAAATATAATGCTGTTTGCAGGTTCTATCACTGTAACCAGAAAAAGGAATACTAATTCACGTTCTAACTCGTGTATTTATTTACCCAGTTGCCAGATCCCACTTCTCTAGATGAAACAGTATTGCAGGGTTGTTCCAACTTTAAAAAAACAATTTCTTGCTATTTTTTGGCATTACTTACTGTATCTAATTTAATTTCCAGATATTTGTTGTAGCACAAAAATATATATACAAAGCACTGCTGATGCCATTACACTTGATAGTATTGGCAGATCAGACACATGCAGGGTTAAAAACCTCCCATTCCCTTCAGTGGCCCTGGGAAGATTAATCCACTAGGTAAAGGCAGCAAGTAGCTATATAGTAAAGCTGGTAAACAAAGCTATAAATGAGGTCTCAGCAACTATGAAACCGGTGGCATGGCATCCTACCTTTTCAATTCCCACTGGAATATTGGCAAGAGATGGGAATGTGACCACTGTATTGAAAACCTGTCTGGATCCACTGGCTATAAATCATGTATTTGGGCAGATTTTAGCTATTATTCAATATATGTGCTTTAATAATCTTCTGTACCCTGCCAAAGTGTTATGAAGTAGGATTGCTTCACATTTAGCCGACCACAATGCTAGGCAGCACAGTAACAATATTTTATTGGCCCTTGTTGAAGGCACAGAGAGTTCACTATTAATACTAAAATGCAATGTAGCTGCTCAAATAAGACATCCATTTAAAAGAAAGAAATACTTGAATTTATTCTCCCTTATTTTTGATTATTTAGGGAAAGTATTAGGGATGACGCATTAAAAATAGAGGCAATGTTTTCCCTAAAATGCTAGCTCCATTTTGTTTAAGCCACATTGAGATTTCAAACTCTGCAGAAAAATAACAGTGTTTTTTTGGCAATTTTATTTATTTGTTAGTTTTATTACAAAGGACCACCTTATATCACTTACAAAGGCATGGTCTTGCCCCTAAAGAGTCTATGGCCTAAGTCTGCATACTGGTAATGCAGACTGTTACACTCAGACTGAGCCTCAATGAATTAGTTTTGCCAGAAAAATACCCCATCCAAAATAAGCCAAAATATGAAGAAGATAAAACACGAATTATATAAGCTGTTTTGTAAGTTGTTTTTAAGTTTGTGTTTAATTTGCAGTCAGAGTGATGGACATGTAAGTAGCTGTATTTCAAATGGGCCAGTGGGGCTTGCTGTGAAGGTCAGGTAATGGTAGGCTACTGTAAAAGGTTGGACAGTAAATTTAATTGCAAGTTTGTTTCTTAGGGACATGATAAAAAAGTTGTGATGTCATCTGGACACATCCTGAACTAGTGGTATGAGGGAGAACAAAATGTCTAAGATGATAGTCCTAAGTAAGAAAATGAATACTCTTGCTCTCAACAGTGACCAAGAATGTGGAGGAAGAAGGAAGATTGGAGAGGAATGTAAAGGGGCTAAAGGAGGGGCTCCTGTGTAGGACAGAAGAGGGGAATAGGAGGGTCCACCAGGGTGAACCAAGAAAAGATGGAATCATGAAAACCAAAGGAAAGCAATTGGCAAGAAGAGGGTGATCAAAAAAACCCCAAAACAGCTAGGTAAAGAGGGGTGAGGGACCCAGAGAATTGGCCAGAACGAAATTTGTGAAGTGGAGAGGGCAAAAGCCAAAGTGCAAGCGGAGCATAGAATGAGAGGTGATGGTATGAATGGCAGTTTGATGAATTTGGGGCTTGATTGAGAATGGTAACCAGAGAGAAACATGTTGCTGGATGTGTCTGGAACAGAATTTGCAGCGCACCAGAACGTTAACATTTCAAAATTAGTTTCTGTTCTGAACTGAAAAAAAAAGCCAAAACATTAAAGCATTTCAGGAACAAAGATTTCCAAAAAACTTAACATTGGAAACACTGAAATAAACACTGAAATAAATAGGAGGAAAATGATCACCATTTTCAAATAGCACATTAGAAACTGACATTTTGAAATTGCATTTTAAAAATAAGAAATCAGGGTTTAGTTTAAGTCAACATTTCCACCTTAGAAAACATTGATTTCAACAAAACATAATTTTCTGAGGGGAATTTTTTGTTTGAAAAATGTTAGTGAGCTCTGTGGGTGTGTTGTACGTAGTAAAGTGCAGTGCCATGAAGAGAATTGGCCGGTACAGTACCAAAAGCGGTACCTGTGTTAGCACAACATGCCACACAAACTAATTAGCCCTGCTGAAAAGCATTATTTACCAAACCGCCCATCATGTTAGAAGAAATAGTTCTTCACTGGCACAAAAAGTCTGAGGATTTATGGACACTAATCAAGATTAACCAGAAACAAGTGTCGGCCTAAAAGTCCATGTATTGCTCTGGAATATCATGTTGTGTTAGTATGGCTCTAGTTCTGTTTCCTTTTAATTAGAGTTGTGGATGCTCAGTGCCTCTGTGAATTGGATTTCTTCAGATCCTCTGGTTATATCCACTAAATAGTCTGTGAATTTAGATTCCTAATTTTAGACACTCAAATCTGGAAGTTGTTCAGCTTTCCCTTTGTTTCACCTTATCATAAGATTACTCTCCTTTCTGCTACCCCTTCCAAATTTAAGTAGAACTAAGCAAATTAAGCCTTAAGTGTTCTTGACTATAAATGTCGTTGCTTTGTAATCAGCAGTTACTGGTTTTCTCTGAGATTTCTGTCTATTACAAATAGTCACTCCAAGTCTGTTACGCCAGTTAACAGAATACTGGTTTTCTCTGTTAAGAATCGTGTAGTTTTCTACAGCAGAAAGCCAATCAAAATAAAATCAGATGCAGCTAATTGTGGCTTCACACAGGCACAGAAATTTAAGATTGAGAAGAGCCTTTCTTGCTTAAGTGGCTTCTTGTTTATTTTCCAATCCAGGTCTGTAAAGGTAAGTTACATAACCATTACCTGCAGAAAAGCTAATCTTTCTTTACAGTTACACCAAATCAGAGCATTTTCAGCCTGTGTGTTCAGCTCTTCTGCTGTAGGTTCTCTGTCTCTGCCTTGCAAGTTTCTGTCAGGTTTAGTCCCAGACCATTAAAGCAAAGAAGATCCTATAACATAAGAAATCCTGAATGGTGGGAGGCATCCCTTATTGTTTTCTGTTCTGGAAAACATTTGCCAAGTAGTTCCACTGACTGTGCTGAATCTCATACATTGGTAGGGAAGGAAAGGAAGCTATGGCTGCCTTTCTTCCACATCTTGGAAAAATGAACCTCATCCAGGTGCACAGGTGTGGTTTGGGGGGGTGGAAGTATCCATCATAGAGCCCTACAATTGGATGATGGAAAGTTCACGTTTTCATAAGTCTGAAAGAATCTGGGCAGTTAAATCTTTCTCTTAAGTTTCTGTCATCTTTCCCTGTGGCAATTAAACATAGAACCAGAGCAAAGAGTAACAAATAAAGCTTTTCCCTTTAATAAGGGGGAATTTTTGCCCATTGTACCTATTACTACTTCGTGTACACTACTGTCATGTGTATGAAATAGCAAGCCATTTGCTCTAATTTTCCTTTCTGCTACTGTTTTTCAGGTTCACACGTTCAGGGGTCCACACTGGTGTGAGTACTGTGCCAATTTTATGTGGGGCCTCATTGCTCAGGGAGTAAAATGTGCAGGTAATGGCAATTCAGTCTTCTCTTCCTAAGACAATCCTAATGTTGTAAATCTTTTGACATACTGTCTGTTTCAGAATCAACCCGTACGCTTAGGCCAGGTACAGACATTACATTTTTCTCAGTATAAGTGATTGGAAACTGGTCTATACCCATAACAGAACAGAAGTTCAGCACTCACAGACTGGTTTAAAAATGGCAGAACCCAGTCTAAGATTTGATCCCGTCACTAAAGGGCAAATGTGTGTTGTGTTCACTACTGATCTAAACTGTGCCTCTTACAAAAAACTGCGTAACTTAGATTGATTCCACCTTAGGCTTTTGAATGTCTTTACCTAGCCTTAGGGTCTGATGGTATGATGTCCAAGTCTTTCACTGATAGTTGTTTTAGACACTTATATCACCAATATCGTGCTACTACTGGAGCACTTTCCAAGCATTCAAAGATAGAAGTAATCGCGCTCTCTCCTTTTTTGCAGCATGGAGGAGAAATAGCTTGATGAGTTGTTAGGTTAATTTACTTTGTAACAGAAATTTGTGAAACTTACTGATGAGCTCAGTGTGTTATAGCTAACAATTACTTAGGGGGTAGATATTTTACAGATGGATATATTCAACTGGGAATGTAAACCATGAGTCCTTAATCCTAGTTCTTCTGACTAGTAGAGCATGCATTTTCTGTCTCATATTTGAAAAGTTAAATGAATGGATTGAAAAGAAAAGAAATAAAGACAGTATACAGCAACTTCATAACAGGGGCTGTGTTATAAGGAATGTATGGATTTAGTCTTTCTGTTATAGCTAATAAAACCTAGGTAGAATAATTCAGCAGTTTTATTGATATCCCTTGGAAGGTAAAAGGGAATCTGCCATTGGATTTAGGTTGAAGGCCAAGGTAATCAGAAAACGTGTTTCATTATACAGTGCAGCATATGATGCTCCAGTAACTAAATTTACGAAAATGGTACAAAGATATGTTGATGTACAAATGCTGCATTTGTTGCCCTGGAAACTGAATTTTCAGGCTAATTTAAGAAAAGTTTCTGCATCAAAAGGTTTCTGAAATCTTGTCTTGGGCAAATAATATAGATTGTATAACAATGGGCAATGGTGTAAACTTAGGTGGAAATAAATGATCTGAAAGAAAAACTGTACATGAAAAGCCTGGAAAGTGGTCTAAGTATTTGACATATGATATTTTTGTGTGTTGTCAGCATTAGCAGACTCTCCAGTGTCCATAACATTTGCATTCACTAGTTACAGAAAAAAATGAAGGAAAAGTACAATGATTTCTGTAAAAATGGCACTTTCTTGCTTGCTGTGTATATCTAGTTGTATAGCTATGTACTTCACTCATTAAAGTTTTTTTTCCCCATGTTTCACTATTGTTAGCCTGATACAGCTAATAAAGCTCTGGTGAAAGGAGCTTGACTTTTGCTCTAGCTTATGCAGTAACAATGAAGTTGTTTAGCTACATTTTCAGAGAGGACTCTATTGTTGAGAATACATGAACATCACACAAGCTCCCTTTCTGTTCTCAAGTAGTGTCCGCAGTTAAAAGAAATAATGGGGTTTTTTACTGCTATTTTAAATAGCTTTGATCTGGAAATTCAAGACAATAAGCATTAGAAGCCATAAAATCATTTTCAGAGTACATAAGCTAACAATATAGACTTTACCATCAAAGCTACTGTACTACTTTTCCATAAGTTTCCTTTATAATTGCGGTAGGAAACAGAGTTCTTCAAATTAAGCTGTTTTCCTAGTTTGCATTTTAATGTAGATTTTTCTCACAAATATCCTAAGGTTTTCCACAGTGGTTTTGGGAAATAATTATAGTGCTTTCTCTTTGTTTTCTCTTTTGACTCTATATACAGAAGTCATTATGCTAAGAGAATATAAATTATCTTGTTTACTTGAATCCAAGATGAAGGTGTTCCCCCCGTATTCAACATGGTGGGGAAAAGAGCCTTGTCTTGGATTTGAGTTCATTGTGGGATAGTATGGGTGACAGCAGGTGGCTGCTACAGTTCCATATCTGGATTCAAATTCAGAGTCAGAGCCACAGCCCCTGTGCCACCTGCCTCCCGCCTCACCACCACTTACCTCTGTCCCCCCACTATAGCTTGCCCTCAGTCATGGCTGCGTTCCATACCCTAGCTAGGCAATGGCTCTAGCTCCAACCTGGACCTAAGGATGGTGCCATCGCTGCTTGGCTGGGTGGGGGCTGGAGCCAGCATGTGCTCTGTACCCCAAGCTAAAACAGGGCCAGAGCTGGAGTCATGACCAAAAGTAAGCAGCAGAAGTGGGGAGTGACCAGGTGACAGGCGGGGCCAAATGGAAGAGGTAATTCAGGGGGGGCAGGTGCCAGAGGGTGCAGGCCCTGCAGGGAGGGGCAGGTACAGGGGAGATGGTGGCAGGGGCAAGTCATAGGGGGGCAGGTGGCTGTGACCATGATGGCGGGGAGAGGTAAGGGGCAAGGTTCAAGCCACTTGACTTCCCTTCTGCTTCCCCCCCTCCGCTGCTGTGGTCAGCAAATTAATTTGAGATGCCCTTCCAATAATTAGATTCTATACGTGGAGGATTATAACAAATTTATACATTTTCCGGGTATAGAATCTAATTATTGGGTAATTGTCTTAAATTCAACGTCATCCTGGATTTGTGTAACTACAGCATGTGGCTTTAGAGTTGCAAGCCTAATAGAAGATTTCTGTCTGTTTTTCTAAGGTTGTCTTGCTTACATCTAAGGCTGTCTCACTTAACACCAAATAAAAGCAGAGATCTTAATTTTTGTTTATAAATCCCACTTCATAATACCAGTGAAACATGCTAGGGAATAAAGTATTTCTGAGGGATTGCAGTAGTTCCTCAGTGGTTAAGATGATTTAACTTATGATTATAAACCTCATGCAGCACTTGAAACATGTAATAAAATCATAGACATGCATGGGTATCATACTTGTGTAAGAAATAGCAAATGACAGGATGTGCAGTAGTGAGATACCCACAGGCTTCACATGACTGTTTTTGTGCTCTCAACTCACTGGTCAGCAGATTACTTAGCTCACTTGGAGGTAAAGAAGAGAAAGTACCGTGTGTTAATAAGCAAAGAGCCCTCTAGCAAATTGTTGACAAATGGCTTCTGAATTGGGGAAAGTTCTGTCATTTTCAGCAAGGTAAAAGACAGGGGAAAGAACCTGAAAAGATGCAGTGTTATGTGCAGGAAATAGGAAATAGTGAGACCTTGAGCACATCCCTCACAGATAGGTAAGGAGCAACTAGCTTCAATTCCATGAAGAACCTTTAATGAATTGAATGTGGTTCTCCTCTGAAAAGTGACTGTGGAAATGTGTCAACTCTTGAATGTGGCAGACCTGTTCTCTGCATGTGTACAAAGGAGTCTTGCTTTCTCTGGGAAGAAAAATAACTTTTTACTGCAGTTTCATGTGAGCCATCACAGCTAATGAAAAGCTGGATTCTCCCTTGTTTTTATCAGCTGAATTGTTTATTTGTTCTAGTTAGTTAAACTCCTGTGCATGTGTGTAACTAAGAAGACATGAAAAGAGAGCTCTGGAAATCTGTTATTACTAGTGCACAAGAAGGAAAGATCTTAGGCAGAGCATCACAACCCAGACTGAGTTCCATGGGTGATGGATTATAAACAAATAATCTTTTTGCTTCTAAACTAAGACATTTTTATCTGGAAACCACTGACATGCAATTACCAGGGAACCATGCAATCCCATCGCTTTCCAGAGAAGAACAGTACATTAAAAATTATAGGGCTGAGCAAGATGCAGCCCACTTGCATTCAAATTGAGCGCAGCACCACTCCTGGGAAGTCCACAAAATCTGACTTGTGGTCTGTATAATAATCTCATTGAAAATGCTTGGTGAACAAAACTGTGCTGATTATATGTATTTTATACTTTCCAAAGCATTTGCTTTTTAAAGCAGACAATTACAGATCTCAATAGGAATCTATTAGCTCTACAAAAGCAATACATATAACAGCTGTAAATGAATGCTGCGTGGCAACACTATCATTTTAAGTCTTGCTCTCTGCAGGACACAGAAAATATACACTGGAATATTATAGGATATTCCTGGATTCCCCTTACAAGGATAAATGTCACCTAATGCGAAAAAAAATAGTAGGAGGAATGGAATAAAAGGTAATACAAGAAGATTGTTACTAATGGGATGTGGATTATTTCATAACATAAGAACATAAGCAATCCTTTTAAAAATAACCTACAGCCAGAACATTCTCAACAATGCATATTGGGCCGTAGCAACTAGCAACCAGCATGCCATAGCAACTGGAATGCACTTACTCATTCTTTTTTTAAATTTGGCATGACTACTTAATCTCCAGCTAGAATATGACCTGGTTTTTATCCATGTTCTGTCAGATACTACCCATATACATGATGATTATCTTCTCCATGTCAAATTGTCAGTAGCCTTTTTATGGGTTGTGTAGCAGGGAATGAAGTGTGATTATAGTCACGATCCTCCATGAAATCCTATGATAATCACAATTCCAGTATCTCCCTGCTAAGTCTGCCAAATACGGAAATTTGAATAAGAGCAGATGCTGCCATCTTGACCACAAAGATTTCCAGAATCAATATGTTGTCCCTCTGCATTTCTTGAAACAGAAAAAGATTTCAGCCATTCAGAGCTAAGACTGGATAACTACTTTATGGTTCATGGTCTGGTGAAATGAGCTGGTAGACTTAGTCTGTTAATTCATTTTCCATTTTGTTAACTTCATTATTTTTGACAATTGAACTATATGAACCATGCCTTTACTTTTTTGCATCCTACTGCACTCCCATACATTCAAGTGAAGACTTCTCATTCCCTCCCATGCATATGAAAACAATACCTTTTGCCATGGACTATCCCAAACGTGTTTTCCTTAAGGCTCCTGCTACAAGTAGGAATGACTGAAGATGTAGCACAGTCTTTGAAAGTCATGGTGCCAGATAGTA